CCTTGCATGAAGGAAGGAAAATGTACCAAAAAATATCCAAGGGCGCTTTTAAAAGATACTCAAACCAACGACAAAGGCTATCCTCTGTACAGGCGTAGAGCACCAGAAGATGAGGGCCGCACGATTATTCAAAAAACCCGAGGTCACGAAGTTTTGGTTGACAATAGGTGGACTGTCCCATATTCTCCTCTGCTATCTAAAATTTTTAATTGCCATATAAATGTAGAGTTCTGCAATACGGTACAGGCGATAAAATATATTTGTAAATATATTAATAAAGGCAGCGACCAGGCTATTTTTAACATCCGACAGCAAGGGAATGTTAATGTTGACCCGAGAGATGAGGTGCAAACATTTCGAGCCGGTCGATATGTTAGTAGCAACGAAGCAGCGTGGCGGATCTTGGGTTTGCCTCTGCATGAGAGATACCCAGCAGTCACTCATCTTGCGGTACATCTGCCCAATGGTGAGCGGATTTACTTCACTGAAAACAATTTTAGAGAGAGAATGGCCGCACCACCTAAAACGACGCTAACTGCATTTTTCCTGCTTTGCCAAAATGACGCATTTGCAAAAACATTACTTTATGTTGATGTACCCCGCTACTATACATGGAACGTGTCGTTAAAAGAATGGAAACGTCGTTTACAAGGAACCCCTGTCGACGGTTGGCCAGGTGTGAAGGCAGGAGATACTCTTGGGCGCATTTACACAGTGCACGTCAGTAACTTTGAATGTTACTGTTTGCGAATGCTGCTGAATGTAATACAGGGCCCCACTAACTTCTTGGATCTAAAAACAGTTGACGGTCAAGAACTTGAAACTTTTCGACAAGCGTGTGAGAAGTTGGGGTTGTTGGAAGATGACAACCACTGGGATGCCACAATGGAAGAGGCCGTGCTGTGTCGTTCTCCTTCCCAAATAAGAGAGCTGTTTGCACTATTAATAACCACTTGCGGTTTATCTAATCCTCTACAACTATGGGATAAGTATAAAACTGCGTTATCAGAGGATATCTTGCACAGATTTGAAAGGATGAATCAAGTCAACGATGATCTATGTTTGAATGAAGCACTGACACTTATAGAGGACAAAATAATAACGATTTCCGGAAAGAAATTGTCCGATTTCGGTATGCCCACACCACAGCGACGAGGAGAGCTGTCGACCGATTTGATTAAAGAACTAAGCTACAATACCGCTTTATTAGATGCCCAGGTCAGCGAAACTGAGCCACGCCTGCTGCCAGAGCAACAAGAAATTTATGACAAAATATCACAACGAGTTGAGCTTGGTGAAGGCGATCTTTTTTTTCTTGATGCTCCGGGCGGTACAGGTAAAACTTTTTTGCTTAATTTGCTTCTAGCGAAAATTCGTTAGGACCGTAATGTGGCATTAGCTGTGGCATCCTCTGGGATCGCTGCAACATTACTAAGTGGTGGAAGGACGGCACACTCGGTTTTTAAATTACCTCTGTATCTGGCAAGTGAAGAAACCCCAATGTGCAACATCAGTAAGAGCAGTGCCCGCGGTGCCCTGTTGCAACAATGTAAGCTAATCGTGTGGGACGAGTGCACTATGTCACACAAACGCGCCATCGAGGCGCTTGATCGCTGTCTACAAGACATTCAAAGCAATCGAAAGTTGATGGGTGGTGTGGTAGTTTTATTGGCAGGGGATTTTAGACAGACTTTACCTGTTATCGAGAGAGGCACTGCAGCAGACGAAATTAGCGCATGTCTAAAAACATCATATCTGTGGACCAAAGTTGAAAAGCTTTATCTTACCACTAACATGCGAGTTCAATTATTCCACGATGTCGAGTCGGGAGCATATGCTCAAAAACTCCTAGAAATTGGTGAAGGCCGCCTGGACACCGACCCAGAAGGTATGGTTCTTTTCACACACCAATTTTGTCATGTTGTGGAGTCGGAAGACGAACTAATTGATCAAGTTTTTCCGAATCTGCAACAATATATTTATAACGAAAATTGGTTGTGTGAAAGAACCATACTGGCTCCAAAAAATGAGACTGTTTCGAAAGTAAATAAAAAAATCTTGGACAAAATAACTAGCGAAATATTCGTGTATAACTCCATCGACACAGTTATGTCATCCGATGACACTACAAGTTATCCCGTAGAGTTCCTAAACTCTTTAGAGTTGTCCGGGGTGCCATCACACAAGTTGGAATTAAAGGTAGGTGTACCTGTTTTGTTAATGCGTAACCTGGACGCGCCAAGATTATGCAACGGCACTCGGTTGCAAGTTAACGAACTAGGGAGGCACATTGTGAAGGCCACAATTTTAACTGGAGAAGCCAAGGGAGACAATGTTCTTATACCGCGCATCCCAATCATACCCAACAACTTGCCATTCAATTTTAAACGCCTGCAGTTCCCATTGAAAGTCGCATTTTCAATGACGATCAACAAATCGCAGGGTCAAACCTTAAAGGTAGCAGGCATACATTTGGGCACGCCATGTTTTTCTCACGGTCAGCTCTATGTGGCTTGCTCACGTGTTTCCAAAGCGAAAAATCTGCATGTTTATGCTGAAGGAAAAAAATCGCTAAATATAGTTTATAGAAGCATACTGCAGTAGCTACCTATAGGCCTATGATTAGGGGTTTGCAGTGCTTAATTACTGTATTTCTTATGTTGACAATATTGTTACGTTATTACAGTGCGAATGTAACATCTCAATATTGTCAGACTGTTATATTTTTCAAATACGACCCAAAAATTATGTATGTTATAATTTTAATATCATAATGTTAGTTCTTTTCACGCTAATATAAGCTACTCGAAATACTAATACTGCGCACACGAAGTCGCGGGCACCAGTTATTGATACATAAAGACCTTGCTTTTATTCGAATTACACGCAGACGAAGTCGCGGGCAAAAGCTGGTATCAATATATAGTTACAATTAATTTTATAGTTAACATTATATGTAGTATATAGGAAGCGGCATTAGATAGGTACAATATTACTGTCATGAAAAATGACTAATACCCATTTAATATCAAATTATAAGAAACACTATGTCCATGCATTACGATCATTTAGATAATCATCAACTTTATAATAGCCCTTATTCATAAGAGTATTTTTGATCTGAGATTCATATTTAGTCAGTGGAAGCTCAATCAGATCTTGGGGAACTTTGTTAAACAATGCAATACTACAACCCAGAAATGAACCTCTTGATTTTTGGAATCTGAAACATGGAACGGCAAGCTTGTTTTTAAATCTCGTGGCGAAATTATGGGTTTGACTTTTTTTTTTGCAAATTCATCATAGTTTTTTCTTACATATATTAAATTTTCATAAATTTATTGCGACGCCAGTGTTAAAATATATTTCTTTAAATTTTTCTCTAAGGGATTCTCTTGCCTTTAAATTGTATATGGCGCGAACAGCTCTCTTTCGCAGTATGAAAATACTTTCAATATTAGCGGCTGAGCCCCACAACAAAAGGCCATATGACATAACACTATGAAAGTAACCAAAGTAAACTAATCTTGCCGTTTCCACATCAGTTAAGAGTCTTATTTTTTTAACAGCGAAAGCTGCAGCTGCATGTAATATAATAACAGCTAATAACTGACACTATAAACTCCATTCCTAAAACTACACTCTATCTAAATTTACATATCTCTATCCCGAAATTATCAAATGACCTATTACAAAAAAAACAATACAATACTAACTTACCCCAATGTAAATTACATAATAAAATGTAACTTATGAAAGTCTCCTATGTTTTTCGTATCAAATAGCGAAAAACAAACATCCATATGCGAAGAAGCTAAACCATCTAAATGATCTGATTCAAATAAATGTTCTTTGGTAACTCTCCGGAGAATAACCACCGGAACCCAAAGAAAAAAAAAAACAATAGTATATGGCTAGAAGAATTTCGACGCGGTCTGTGAGGGGCTGTTCAAGTATAACGTAAGCAATACAGGGGGGCAGAGGGGGTCCTTGCTTTACTTATTTTTGATGACATGGGGGGATGGGGGGTCGAGATGGAGATTACGTCAGCATCATCGATTAAGCCTTTTTAAGTACTGCTGCTCATAAAGCTCATGAATCGCCACGCATGAAATGAGGGCCGCGGTAGCATAATTGGTCAGTGCATTCGGAAGGGTGCGGGTTCGAGTCCCGTCTACTGCCTGGTCCGCGTGGAATTTTTTCTAGTTATATTTTCTTTAGATTTAAACATCAAGCAACCACTTGTGCCATCGAGCTCCTCTCACAATTCTCAGTTTGGTACTACCTTATTTAGGAAAATATTTATAGGTGTTTCCTGGACGCAAGTCCAATCCGTACTAATTGAATAAATGAATGAATGATTTATTTTTCCCTAACAGAGTCACAAAGTAGCGTTATAATTAAGTTAAAAGGCATTGAATGACAATAACAGTAAAAGCAATGCAGTTATGAGCTGGAGATTGTACTAGGTTATAAAACCTATTAAGAGCTCTTTTACAAAATTGCACCGTTGCCGTACTAATCGGCGCGTAGGTAGATTTGCTCTAGTATATATTGCATTTTACGGGTGATGTTTAGAGTCTTATAAAAGAATTATTAATGAACTAATTATAAAAATATATACATATTTCAGTAGTTCAATGATGGTAGATTAGTTTTATAAATTTTTGAAGTTATACTTCTTTAGCCGCGTTATGAAAAAATTATGAGAGTGAAATTTCCATCACTGTAACACAAAATTTTAACATAATGAAGTTAGCCGCGGGCGCGTTATTTGTAATATTCTATTTTCCAAGTGACCGTGGGGCAGATTTGAACAAAGCAAACAGGGCAGATTTGAACGGAACATTGAAATGAAATGAAATGAAATGACATTTATTATTAATTTATTGTAATTAATTATTTGCATGCAATTAAAAACTAATTTTAAACGATGCCAAAGAAGGATAACTTGTCACGCGCGTACATAAGTTACACGCATCCATTTTATCGGTATACAGGTAGCGAAGTTGGATGAAGAGGACGCGCCTCCGTTTACGCATCTCGACATCGCGGCCAGCGCCGGCGACCATCCGCACCACCCCGTGCCCGCCACGCTGCTCGCGCTCGCCGCGCACTACGGGCTCATCGCGTGCTGAGCGATCCCGAGCGATCCCGAGCGATCCCGAGCGACCCCGAGCGAAGACTACCACCACCTGCATTCATATCGAGCCCTTACCGCCAAATTATCGTAAGCGACATTCGCCCAATTATCGTAAGCGATACTTTTGTCGAAATGCGTTTTTTGTGGAAACTAATATTTTAAACCGTAACGGACCCATCTCTGTTGATGTTTCCCTCCGAAAGAACAGCGTAATAATATAATAGAGGGAAGAATAGAGGGAAACATCAACAGAGATGGGTCCGTTACGGTTTAAAATATTAGTTTCCACAAAAAACGCATTTCGACAAAAGTATCGCTTACGATAATTTGGCGGTGAGGGCTCGATATATCGTCTCGCCTACCACCACCACAGAGTACACAGGAGGTTAGATGGCTCGTCCTACCTACACTTCCACATAATACATAATCACACGACGTGGCTTCAAGCCATCGAACCGATCAGCCCTCACACCCGAGAGCAACGACGCAATCGGAACCAAGTTTCGTTCAAGTTATGAGCGTTTGCGCACACACTTGTGGCGCGCCTGCCTCAGGGGCCGTTCGAGTATTACGTAAGCAGATTTATTAAAATTATTTACCCTCTCCTCCCCCTCTTCAGCAAAAGTAAGCAAAGCTCTTACCCCTCCCCCCCCCCCCCTCCCCCGTCCTTACGTAAACATTGGTACCTATATGCATTTTTCCTTTAATGTATTCTGTTTTTTTTTGATTCATGAGCTTTCATGAGCTTCATGAGCAGCAGCAGTATTTAAAAAGGCTTAATCGATGATGCTGACGTAATCACCATCTGTACACCCCCCCCCCCCCCCCCCCCCATGTCATCAAAAATAAGCAAAGCAAAGACCCCCCTGCCCCCCTAAAGTGCTTACGTAATACTTGAACAGCCCCTCACCCGCAAGGTCCTTCTAACCTCTTTCTGTGTTCTGTGACAGAATACATAACGGTACAAAATAGTTTTCTCTGGAAAATCAATTAAATGAATAGTTTAGGAAAATTCACGTCGCTAGTTGGCGCCACTGCGGCGTCAGATCTTTTGTTTGAAGTGTTTGGCGCAAATTAAAAGAACGAGCATTTAAATTAATCCATAGATCATGACGACGGACGAGTACACCTTTCGCCTCTGTGCTACCACCTGGCGCCCGAAATTTCAGGAAACCCTAATTGCGTACGATTCAGATCGCAGAGCGCTAATAACCTACAAGTATATTCACCTAATAGTTGCCTCTCTTTCTATCGCGTAACTCTTACCTTTTCCGACGACACCAGGGTAGTCTGCTTATGAAAAATAATGTGAATATGTATGTTCTTGTGAACAAATGAAGTTTTAAATCTAATTCTCATAGCTGTCTTAGGCCCGTATTACAGAATGACAACTGAGAACAGTTAGAAAGGGATGTCGCTATATAGAGCACATAGCGACATACCTTTCTAACTGTACTCAAGTAAAGATCAACACTTAGTTATCTTTGTGTAATACGATCCTTAGTAATATAAGCAGATTGTCGCACTGAATTGGCCCCTCTGGTAGTAAACACGTCTTCGATACGCGGGAGTATGAGAGGCCTGCTTGTATTATAAGATTATCTTTAATCGTTCGCCGCTCACTTTTTCCTAAAAAAAAAATGTGTGCGTGTACTATTGTACACACGTAAGAAGTGAAACTTCTTTATGGCCTTATTTTTTTCGAAAAATGATCTACATGCAACTTTCCAGAAATATATATATAGGCGTGCGCTAAGATTTTTCAAAAACTCACCCACTAAAGGGGTATAACTACACCTTACCTTACCTTGTGTGAAACACGAATATTTGCTGTCGATACTTTTTTTTTAAAGTTGACAGAAGAAGCAATTGTTCGGATGAGGTAAATAGTGCTCTTTTAAAAAAAAGATGGCGCGTAACCAAAAAACGTGACGCGTAACCGAAAAAAATGTGACGGTAAATTTTTTTCCAACGCCGATAAAGAAGTTTCACTTCAAAAATTCATTCCATCCCCTAGTATGAGCACCGCGATATGGTATATCGTTCAATTTTTTATGGAGTTTGAAAGCTAAACGCTGTAAAAAGCGTGATATAATGTATATATTGTGGTGGTTATGCTACCGGAACAATGAATGTGTCGAGGTGATATATGTTCGCGAGATGGATCGAGATGGATAAAAACATGGCACAGACAAATATCGTAGGTACCACAGACGACGTCACAATTAGTATTTATATCAGAAAATGCAAATGCAATGTTTCGGTTTCAGTGGATTTTTAATAAAATATAAGTACACATTTTATCAATCGTTGCGTAATAATAAACTGTTGTATATTAACGAGAATATTTTTATAAGTATATATCGTAAATAAAAAATATTATACATATAAACGATGTCTTTCATTATCGCAACCTCTAAGAAAGAAAAACATTTTTATTAACCCCCATTATACACAATAAATATTAAAAATAAGGAATAAACTATGTGATTCAACTAAGAATAGGATCGACTGGGCGCCATATTGTAACGTCATAGCTGTCAATTCAAACCGGTAAGGTAGAGAGAGCAAAGAAGTTTTTCTTTAATAAAACTTATTTACCAAGATTAAGTGAGAAAACATATTTTTTTTAATAATATTTATTTTTTAATACTGAGTGAGAAAAAACATTAAGCATAATCTAGCTCTTTAAATCCGCTCATCTCTGCACTACCGTCGGAGTAGTCATCATTATCACTGCTACTTTCAGCTTTAAAGTAAAGTATTGATTATTGTAGGTTTTAAAAGGACAACTTTATTTAAAAATAAAAACCGTCTTTTTATTACCTGTATTTATAATGAAACTAAAGTTCTTATATTTTCATTTTCCAGTACTCATTTTTTATACGTTTCATATGATTTATTTCCTGTTACTGTTTACAAATGTATGGTATTTATTCTAAGATTAGCTGAAATCTAAAAAAAATGTTCTAAGATTTTTTTGCAAACCCTACTTTTCAAGCATCATTTGACAGATGGAGGTCATTGGCTTTCCTATTCTTATTTTAATCTCATGGTAAATTAACCTTACAATAAGGGTTACCAGGACTCTGTCGAGTGTTCGAATGGGAGACACATAAAAAGTAAGACAGAACATGAACAGAGTACAGCAAAATACTGCAGGCACAACGACAGCTACTCCTGACCAGACTGCATAGGATGGTATTCTTAGCCTTGTAAAAACATTAAACGATGTTTTTATCTGTCTGGAAAAAGGTGACGGGATTTTATCGAGTGCGGTGGGCCTCAGTTTTTACCCGGCTGCGCAATGCAAGAGCGCGAAGCGCGACGCGCAGACAGGGTGTAGTGTTTATATATGTATGTTTGTTCCTTTGTGGCACACTAGAGACCAAACGCCTGGACCGATTTAGATGATTCATACATCAATCGATTCATCTCAATCATGGGAGTGCTACTAAAGATATGATAGTAATCAAAATTCAATATGAGGAAAATTAGGCGCCATATTGTGACGAAGTAAAAAAAAATATGTCGAGTGGGGTATCATTGTCTAGATAATCGAAAATCATGTTCAGGTTCCTAACACCATTTTTCATTTTATATGATTGTTTAGGATCTACAACGCTTTAAAGTTGTATATTAACCACTTGCGCTTTTAATTTCAATCTTACGTTTGTATGGATCTTTGTTACTCTTTCACCTAAAAATACTGAATGGATTTTAATGAAACTTAACAGTAATATAGCTCATATATGATAAGAACATATATAATAATTTATGTAGTTATTGAGTGAATTGGCCAAAATATAACAATAAGTGTCACATAAGACGGAAAAAATCTCCCATCTGCGAGCCATTTTGGCCTGCACTGCAAAAACAATAAAAGTTACATAAATGCAATGTAGAGTGAAAATGTATCTCTTAAATAGTTCTACAAAAAAGCCCGCGACACCATATATCTATTTTTAATGTGTAAGCCATTATCGCTGAAATAGTGAATCAAAACTAAAATATTATTAATTATTCTTTAAATTCGTTCATAGTGGATATTGTGAAATAAAATTGGTGTGATTTTGTGTCACAATCGTCTGCGCAACTGAAGAATTAATGGAATCTTTAAAATATTCGCTATATCGGTCAAGTGGATGTGAAAACTTTGGAAGTTTGTCGAGAAAGCAGACTCGATACATTTTGTGTCAAACTCTCCCAGAAACATTAGAATGCGTCACACCCACATTCTAATGTAAAAAAAGGCAGATTAATAAAAAAAAGAAGACGATGGCTGCATGGCTTTGCCTTTCCCAATAGGGAAAAAAGGACTTAAAAAAATGAAAAAGTGTGAAGTGCAGTAAAACATTACTTTCGGCTAAAGGACAGAGTACCTAAAGCCAGAATAAATTAAAAAAAAACATTACTTGACATTGGCTGAACGCCGTGTATGCCACAAAAAAGAATAAGAAAGGTGACGTGGAGCAAGCAATACAGAAATAAAGATAATATGCTCTGTCGCAATTGCCATGAGCTCACAAAAATGTAACTACACAATTATAGCAAGCTTATGAGCAGCGCGAGCGAACGTACAAGGGTACGTTCAACAAAGCATTGATATTACAGTGTTTTCAATAGGAAAGACATGAGTATAGTTATGGTACAGTCGAGTTCTTAAATATAGGACCATGTTCATGCTAACAACAGCATTGCCTTACAATAAATTGTAAACACACTGTGACATAAATATGTAACTACATAATGATATCGATTCTGGCATGACTTTCTAAAGTAAATTTCAAAGGCAGCGCCATCTCTTTGCATGAGAAGACAATCTTCAAGTGAATTTAAATTCTAATGAAAATTTTCTTATCATCTGCATATAAGAGGTGTTTAGAGTTAATGATGTAATAAGATATCTCAGAGATATATGCATTGTAGAAGAGAGGGCCAAGGTGAGACCCCTGAGGAACTTCCGAAGGAATGCTAACATACTCTGAGCGGTAACCTCCCAGCACTACTGCCTGAGATTAATTGGACAAATAAGATATCACCCATCTCAGTAAATCCCCGTGACTACCAAGCTACCTAGGCTCTCAATAAGTATTCTATGATCTACACGATCAAACGCCTTCTCGAAATCGGTGTAAATGACGTCCACTTGTCCACCGCCCTCCATGCCCCCAATCACAAAGTTCGTAAACAGTTTGAGGTGGTTGAGCGTTCCTTGAGAAAACCATGCTGGGCGTTAGGTATACAGATAATTGGATAGATCTCTTTAGACAATTTTCCCCAACAATTTTGCAAGGGTGTTTAAGATAGATATGGGGCGGTAATTTGTAATGTCACTTGCAAGGGGAAAGTTGCATTCTTTAAGAGATTTCTGAATAAGAATTGAACATAAACTAAAGTCTTAAACTAAAGCAAAGTTCATTTGGATTTTTTTGGATTTTATTAATAAAAACTAGCGCGTCGCATAAAATAAAACCACCACATATTGTCCAACTGTTTATTTTATTATTTTTTAATTTGCACATTTTTTTTCTCAATTCTCTCGTCCGCGGCGAGTTACTCGCCGGGCCGCTTCTATACAAATATGGAACTTTAAAACTCTTAATTTCAAATGTTCTTCCGACTATACAATACGACTCATAAATATAACAAATACAGTTAATTACATAATAATAATGTACACAAACATAACGTATAAGGGGCGCGCCGCCCGCGCTCGCGGCGCCGCACCGGCGCTACTCCCTGCGAGTATTTACATCATTTCGTTGGACACTCCATATATTACTGATGGAAAAAGGCCCACGCATAGGTTATGTCTCTATATTTGCTTCTCGAAGTAATCCAATAACAAAAGTTCCGTACACAGTTATATAGATTTATAATATTTTTACATTTCAATTGACTGCACACATTTCCGCAACTAAAATAGCATGTCGTCTAAAATGAAATTTGTCCCATTGATAGATAGATAGATATCTACTCAATAATAATATTTGAGACGACAAAAAATCTATACACGTAACTGCAGTGGAAGCAATATCGCTTCACGATCAGAAGGTAACAAAACGTCCGACAGCGCGAAACTACTAATGAGCAGAAAGCCTAATTAGCAAAACTATCCATGTAGCAAAACGTCCAACTCCCAGATTAGACACTTGTGTGTCTGAGTATTAAGACATTTTGAGAATGTGACGATTTGCCAAATAGATGTTCCGCTATACAGATCATCAGAATTGGACGTATTGCTACAAGGACATTTTGCTAATTATGATTTCTGCTCATTAGACGTTGCAGGCTGTTGGACGATTTGCTACTTAAACTTTGTGATCGTGAAGCGTCATATCTATCAAAAGATCTCCGTGGAGAATTTTATAGTTCAGAGCGAGAGAGGGAGTGCCGAGCGGCTTCACGGGGACCGACCAATAACATCACAGTGGCGGGTCCCTCGCGGGCGACGCGACTACACATTTACAAACAAAAACATCAACAAAATGCACGTCATACGGCATGTACGGCGCATACGTACGGGACTCTCGTTTCGAAAAATATATTTTGTCATATATGTATATATATAAACGTTTGCAAAGCATCAAATAATGAAGACGGGCGTCGGTCGCGTGCCGGGCGGCGTCGCGCGCCCGCACTAGTATAATCTCACTGCCGCGGCCCGAGTAATACTGTCATCAACAGCTACCATATCATTTATCAAATTGACATACAATTTTGAAACACGACGACGCTCGTGCACAACTGCCTCCCACCGTGCGTCGGACGCGAGCGGCGGAGGGGAGGGTAGGGGAGTGGGGAGGGTAGGGTAGGGGAGAGGGTAGGGGGGAGGGGAGGGGTAGAGATGCCCGTTCATCTGCGGTCACCTCGGTTTATAGTGGCTCGCCACTGCGGCTATGTACAGGGTGTTGTCATCGCTATAATACAGACAGACTCGCGGATGTGGTCCGCTTCCAACCATCACAGCCACGCCCGCCGCGACATTCAATATCATCCAAAATCTATTATAAATAAACAAGAGTGCGTCGCGACGACGACGACGACGACGACGACGACGGGTAGAAACAAAATAATTTCATCGCAGACGCGCCCCCGGCCCCGCCCGCGCCGGACCGATCGCGGCCCTGCTTCATGATTTCAACTGAGATTTTATTTACAAATAAATTGACCGGTTCGATTTTGCAACGACACTCATGGGACACTGCCGTTCCGTCGCCGCCGAGTGTCGCCTGCGCTCTACGCAGACGTTGAAACCGTTCACATCTGAGAATATTCGATTGCTGCCTCCCGGCGACACCTGGCGGCGGCGGACACGCAACATTATCGATAAACGACCGAACCGCGGACGCACGACGAGCGACGAGCGACTACAAACGACGAACGAA